CAGCCAAAAGAAAAATTGGGGAATAGCTTTATGAAAACTGGTCACCAAATGTGGCCTTCTGAATTAGTATTGGTTAGCGGGATCTTAGGGAGAAGGCAATGGCAACCCACTTCAGTGTTCTTGCCTGGAGAATCCCAGGGACGGCGGAGCCTGGTGGGCTGCCGTCTATGGGGCCGCACAGAGTCGGACACGACTGAAGCGACTTAGCAGCAGCAGCAGGATCTTAAGGCACCCTTTCCCAGTTTCATCCTCCATTGTCCAAATTTGGAACATGTTAGAATTTGCCAAAGTTGTATTATAATGTTAAATATGACCAATAAATTGGGATAGATCTTTGTGGAAACTTTGCACAGGAAATAATATAGAAGATATAGGCTATAAGCTTTCTATTTTGTCTTATGTTGAACTTATTCTAAATGGTTCCACTTAGATTTTTAATAGGGCATGGCAGCCCAATCCAGTATTCTTGCCTGGATAATCCCATGGACAGAGGAGCCTAGTGGGCTACAGTCCTTAGGGTCGCAAGGAGTCAGACATGACTGAAATGAATGAGCACACAGGTTTTAAATAAGTCACGTTTTGTCATTATAGTATTGTTTTGCCAAAGAATTCATCAGGGTATGCTGCTGGACCTAGATACAAAGGTCTTTTAAATGATAGTACAAACAAAAAGGTTATTTAGTATGTAGATGGAGAAACCACTTGCTTGATAACAGCCTTTAATTATTATATAAACAAATAATCAGTTATATTCTCTGACCTTGCTGGGAAATGAGTTTAAGCTAAAACAGTAAAGATTTAGGCTTGACACATAAGAGTTCCCTGAAAAAAGAATAGTTCTCTGGGAAAGGAGTTTCTTAGGAACATGTAAGATGTCCTTTTCTAGATGTCATTAAAAGCTAGCTTGGTTTTTTTGGTTGTTGTTGTTAGTTTGGAGAGAGTAGCCCCTCAAGGATCTCTTGTTAGGATTTTATGACTTTTTTAGCTTTTGTACTTGGAAAGAATATTTGAATAGGTTACCTTTGCTTTCTTTTCTAATTTGGAATAGAACCCCTGTGTTTAATACATTGCTGTACTCGTGATCAGAGTACATATTCTTAATGATGCACCTGCTTATACACCTGCTAACCATTAACCCTTGAACTGCAAGGAGATCAAACCAGCCAATCCTAGAAATCAGTCCTGAATATTCATTGGAAGGACGGATGCTGAAGCTGAAACTCCAATACTTTGGCCACCTATTGCAAAGAACTGACTCATTGGAAAATACCCTGATGATGGGAAAGATGGAAGGCGGGAGGAGAAGGGGACGACAGAGGATGAGATGGTTTGGTGGCATCACTGACTCGATGGGCATGAGTTTGAATAAACTCTGGGAGTTGGTGATGGACAGGGAAGCCTGGCGTGCTGCGGTCCATGGGGTCACAAAGAGTCGGACACAACTGAGTGACTGAACTGAACTGAGCTATTTTCTAACTCTATCTGATGATGTATCTACACTCTACTAAGAAGCAGGTTCTCCATTTGATTCAGATACTTAAATACAGAAATTTAGTCTTATCATCTTTCATTATTATGACTAGTTAGGCCCAGATCAAGATGGATGACTTTGAGGAAAAAATCAACTGTTTCCAATTGCTCTTTTACTTCCTGCATCTGGTGAAAAGCATCACCTGCATTTCTAAAGATATTTTTCAAGTGCTTTAGATGTGTTTTCTGCAAGGCACCCCAGCCAAATGCAAAATTTGGACGAAGCTCCATTTGATAAGTCCCAGTTGAAAGGCTCCTGATTTCCTGATAAAATATTTTGGTAGCATAACTAGACGAAGTTAGGCCTTGTTAATGCAGTTTCAAGTAAACTGTTTCTTCAAGAGTCATGTATGATTATAGGTGTCTTTTTAAGACTGTTAGTCTGCATTGTTTCCAGGGGAGAGAGGTGAAGTTTGAGGGTGCATGGGAAATATTTGTTTAACTTTGGACTCGGGTTAGCCTGCGTCTTCTCTCTGGTATTTGATTTCCCTTAAAAGTGAACTAAACTTCATGAATACTTAGAAGTCCAATCAAAGATCATTTGAATACTGGAAATTACAACAAATAAATGATCTTTAGTCAGAAAACATCCTGGCTATTTATTAAACTTTGTTCAGGTTTTCCTGTCTCTAGGAACATTGTCCTTGATAAGCCCCTCCCATATAAGTGGAAAATCAGGTGATTTATTATTGTAGCAGGCTTTATCTCACTGAGGTGAAACATGGGTTACATCATCTCTTCTGGGTTACATCATCTCTTCTGCCAGTTCCTAAATGTGTATGTTGGACTCTGGTAATTATTAGTTCCTAGACCATTGTTTCAAAGACCAAATATTTTTAAATGTTTTAAAGTCAGGCTAAAGATCTGACATGGACAATGGACTGGTTCAAAATTGGGACAGGAGTACGTCAAGGCTGTATGTTGTCACCCTGCTTACTTAACTTCTATGCAGAATACATCATGGGAAATGCTGGACTGGATGAATGACAAGCTGAAATCAAGATTGCTGGGAGAAATATCAACAACCTCAGATATGAAGATGATACCCCTCTAATGGCAGAAAGTGAAGAAGAACTAAAGAGCCTCTTGATGAGAGTGAAAGAGGAAAGTGAAAAGGCTGGCTTGAAACTCAACATTCAAAAAACTAAGCATCTGGTCCCATCACTTCATGGCAAGCAGAAGGGGAAAAAGTGGAAACAGTGACAGGTTTTATTTTCTTGGGCTCTAAAATCACTGTGGACGGTGACTATGGCCATGAAATTAAAAGACACTTGCTCCTTAGAAGGAAAGCTATGACAAAACCTAGATGGCATATTAAAAAGCAGAGATATCACTTTGCTGACAAAAGTCTGTATAGTCAAAGCTATAACCATTAGTAATGCTCAGACAGTTGAACCATAAAGAAGACTGAGCACCCCAAAATTGATGCTTTAGAATTGTGGTTTTGGAGAAGACTCTTGAGAGTCCTTTGGTCAGTAACAAGATCAAACCAGTCAATCCTAAAGGAAATCAACCTTGAACATGCATTGGAAGGACTGATTATGTAGCTGAAGCTCTAATACTTTGGTTACCTGATGCGTAGAGCAACTCATTGGAAAAGCCCCTGATGCTAGGGAAGATTGAAGGCAGGAAGAGAAGGGAGTGGCAAAGAATGAGATGGTTGGATGGCATCACCGACTCAATGGACATGAGTTTGAGCAAACTCTGGGAGACAGTGGAGGACAGAGGAGCCTGGCATGCTGCAGTCTGTGGGGTTACAAAGAGTCTGACATGACTTGGCGACTGAACAAAAACAATAAAGTTCTCATAACACTGAATGAAGAATAAGAGGCTTTCAAATCTGAGACCTGTCCTTAATTTAGCCAAGTGAAGTACCTAATTTGTCATACGTCTGCTTTTATTTCTAAAAGGAGATAACCCTGCCTGTAGCTCAAACAGAGGGAGCATCTTTCTTGTTCTTTAAATTCAACTAAATGAAAACCTGGCAGTTTCTAAGCTCACATAATGAGACTATACCCCTTTCCTATTTAAATACATGTTTGAGGAAAAGTCCCTTGTAGCTAAGGAAAGCTGCCTTTCCTCCCTTTGAAAAACTCTCATCCTTCTTTCTCTCTGTACTTGTTTCTCCTGGGGGATATTCAGTGCCATCAATATGGACACAGCACAGCTGCTCACCAACAGCAAAGGCACTTTACAAAATCAAATGCTGAGGGTTCTTCTAGCTGATGACAGAGTGAATCCCTCTCTTTGAAGGGAAGGATCCCTGCCACTTTGGACGGGGTTGGGAAATGCCATTTATTGAGAAAGGAAAATATAAAGAAAAGAACATTGACCCGGTGGCTATGCAATCAACAAACAGAAGGATAATAGTCATGTCATTTAACATGCCTGAGGCCTCAATTCTTTACCTAAAAAACAAGGTAGCTGGTTTATATGGTCTCTAAAAATTCATACTTCTGTAAAATTACATGGTTCCTATTCTTGAGGATCTTGAATATGGTCAGTCAGAATCATACTTTCCCCTTGTCTCTGAAGTCAAAGTGGACCTAGAATTTGTCCAGTGTACATGAAACTTCTGTCACCACACTTCAAAGTGTTACCACACTTTTCTTTAATATCTACCTGACTTCGCGTAGATTGATCCTAACAGTGATTAAAAGGAATGTGTCTGAGGGAGTCTTGGGGAGAATTGGCTTGCAGCAAGTGGAAAGGCCTCAGAAATGTTTAAGGCTTGTTTTCAAGATCTGGTTATCTTTCAGTTATCTGGTTGATGTTTCCCAAGGAACTTGTTCACAGCTTGTCATAATTTCTCATATTAACTACTAAATCTAAGTGCGCAATGTCCAGGCAAACAGAGAGTCAAGCCAAATGCTCTTTCCATTGTTTTTATTACAGGGTGCTATGGAGACTGCATGGACTTTGGAGTCAGCCAGAACAGGGAGTTCACAATCTGACTCTGCCTTTTTCTGATTTTGTGGTACATGTTAACCTCCCTGTGTCCCAGAGTCTTCATCTATAAAACAGCAATATTTAAGTTGTTTGGTTGCTCAGTCATGTTCAACTCTGCAACCCCATGGACTGTAGCCCACCAGGCTCCTCTGTCCATCGAATTTCCCAGGCAAAAATGGAGTGGGTTGCCATTTCCTACTCCAGGGGATCTTTCCAACCCAGGGATTGAACCCACATATCCTGCATTGACAAGCTGGTTCTTTACCACTGAGCCACCAGGGAAACCCAATACTTAAGTACTTACTTTAAAAATTATTTTGTATCTCTCTTTAGCATTTATGAAATATCTCATAGAGGTAGTTTCATTTAGGAGATTGTGTGGGTAAAATATCATTTAGGTTTTGAGGCCTAAGTCAGGCTTGCTGGGTAGAGGGCCTGGCCTTTGGAGATAGGTCATACCAGATCCAGAGCTTTGGATAGTTTTGGGGATCTTGTCTAAAATATCCTTTTATGTTTTCCAGGAATCTGAATTTCTATGTTTGGAATTTGATGAGCTCAAGGTCAATCAAGTCCTGAAGAAGCTCTCAGAGGTAGAAGAAAGTATCAGCACACTGATGCAACCAGCCTAGCTGAAGATGGAGTTGTTGAAGCAGAGGTGTTCATGATCCCTCCCCAGAGGCCTGCTTTTTTAAAAAAAGAAAAACCTTATTCCCCCAATAGTATTAAATCCTCAAGTTGAAATCTTGCCCGCCTCTGCTTGCTGTGATTCCTCTGTCTCCCTTTCAGTTACTCTTGCAGTTGGTCCACTGCAGAAGTCCTTACCCTGCAGCACACAGAGGCACCCTAAGAGCATTTTAAAAAGGCCTCAAGGACCCTGTCCTCAGAGACTTGAATCCCCCCTCAGACTGGGGTGGAATCAACTTTAGAAACCTTTGCTATGGTGGGTTATTCCTGTGTAGGATTATAGGAATTTATACATGATCAATCATGTACGAATTTTTAAAAAGGGAGAAAACATTTTACTCATGCAAATAAATACAGGCTGGCCAAATGTGGCCTGAACTGAGGCCTGAAGGAAACTGCCTTCCCTAGAAGAGGTTTACTGACCTTAGTAAGACATGAGATGCTTCTGGAACTGATTCAGGCATTTGTATTAGTTCTCCCTAAATCTAAGGGTGGGCGGAGGTGGGGGTCTTGTTTGATCTGAGCTACTGGGAAACTTGGACTTTTCTGGAACCTAGAACTAAATTGCCTTATCATTCAGGGACTCCCTTCACTTAGCTCCAGTCAGGACTGTGGGAAGAGAAAATGTCTACTGAAGTGATGGGAGGTCTTTTACCTTAAAAATGTTGAGTCATCACATAAAACCTCATGAAGAAAATTTCTTTGAGAAAACTAGGTCCTGGTAGAGAAGTTATACCAAACACCCAGAACATTCTAAGAGGATAAACTGTTAACCAGAACATTGAGGCTGTGGTCCTTGTTGAACAGCTTTTATCATCTGATGATAGCATTCAGAAACTTCAGTTGTCTTTGGGATGTAATGTGTCCCCAAAATGTAGTACTCTTGGTCTGTGGCTACAACATATGTCAGTTATAATGAATTTATTCCAGGGCAGTAATAATACTTCTTCTGTTAAGCATTTTCTCCTAAATCAATTTAAAGACATTTTAGGAGCTTTTCCAAAACCCAGGCAGAAAATTTGGTTTCTTTGCTGATAAAGACCATCCCAGCAGTTAGCAAACAATGACCAGAAGGTTTTGAATGTATCCTCTGTGGACCCTTCAGAAAACATCTTCAAACAGTATGGTAAACAGAATCAGAAAAGTCGTGTGGTTTGGTGAAAGAGCTATTAAAACTTGCTTTCTGTTCTCAGGGCTACTGTCTTTTGATCCAGAAGAATTTAGATAATGTCTCCTGCTGTAAAATGAAGGAAAAGAATATCTCGTCAGATAATGGAATTCCAGATATCACTGGAAGGGAGAACTGTACCTACCATGTTAGTCTTGGATCACATTTCCAATAAGTCTGTGGAAGCCTGAAGGAACAGTCCATGGGTCCGCAGGGAGAGGACATCATTGTCGTGGTTTGAGGCTCTATTTAGGTCATCCTGTGAAAGTAATAGCCACAGAAGTGGACGTAGGCTTGTTCGTTATATCACCAAACCCTAAGTCTTTGGAAAAACTGTTAATGTATACTGAATTTCTCAGAATAATAATAAAAGAAACTGGTTGCTGAAGGTGGGCCCCACGTTTAACACTAAACACTTTTGAGTGCAAGTGGTTTTAGACAGGGTGTGTTTATGTGTGTTTTATGTTTACTGCTGATATTTTACTTTCTGATTGCCAAAGGTGTGTATGTTTATTATAGTGTTGTGAAAATATAGAACACAGTAAGAAGAGTTAAATGATCCATCAACCTAATAAATAGAGATAACGAAAAGCCTGGGACTAGTAAGAGAGTTAATTTTTCCCTGAATAAATTCCTGGAAGTGGAGCACATAGGTTGTTTTCCAGGTTTTGTTTTTTTGTTTTCACTGAGGTATGATTTATGTACCATGTGCAATTTTTAAGATTTTGCTAAACATTACAAATTCCTTTTCAGTTAATATCAGGTTAAAATCAGTTTGTGTTACCTCTAAGAATATATGAGACTTAATCATTTCCTTTCTTGCCTATTGGATATTATCTGGATTTTGTGTTTTCTGGTGAGTGAGTGAGTGAGTGAAAGTCACTCAGTTGTGTCCAACTCTGTAACACCATGGATTGTAGCCCACCAGGTTCCTCTGTCATGGAATTTTCCAGGCAAGAATACTGGAGTGGTTTGCCATTTCCTTCTCCAGGGGATCTTCCCAACCCAGGGATCAAACCCAGGTCTCCTGCATTGCAGGCAGATTCTTTACCATCTGAGCCACCAGAGAAACTTCTGTGTTTTCTGGTACTAACCTATCTTTGTAAATTTTTGTAAGGGGAACCTTCTTATATTAGGACATCTTCCTGGGGATAGTGCTAGCATGGAGAAAGGACCAGAGAAGGAGAAAGCTGTCAGGTCCTAGCAGATCCCACTAGGTTGCCTACTTCTTTAATCCCAGGTTAAAACCTCCTTAGAGTTCAGGAAGTGTGGGGCAAAATAAAAACAACCCTCAGCCTGAGATGGGCCTAGCAGAAATTGTCCATTTGTAAATCATAAGCACTGTAACTTGAGTCTGTTTAGAAACAGTACAGAAAGGCCAAACATTGCACTCAAAAGAAGCTTCAGACCTCAGTAGTTTCTTGTTGGTAAGGAGCAAAGGCTTTGGCTTTGTTCTCAGGACTGCCTTATCTTGGAAGCTCTGATTGCTATTGGCTTCATCGTTGGAGGCTTAAATTCAACCATTATAGCCTCCTCTTTCCTTTCTAGAAACTGTCTTCCCCCAGTGTTATTCTAATGATGATTCATAATAAATTACAGCATTTTAAAGTTTAGTTTAGCAGATTCTTTACCAGCTGAGCCACAAGGGAAGCCCACAAATACTGGAGTGGGTAGCCTATCTATCCCTTCTCTAGCAGATCGTCCTGACCCAGGAATCAAACCAGGGTCTCCTGCATTGCAGGTGGATTCTTTACCAACTGAGCTATCAGGGAAGCCCCTAGTTTAACTTAGTCTTTCCCAAATGCAAGCAGCTGGTGAAAAGCAAAGGATGACACTGAGGATATGAAATCTTAAGTAGCTGACATTGTGTCAAGCTAGTAGTTCTTGAAATCCTTTTCTTAGACCTGAGTGAAAATTTGGAAAACAGAATATAATAGCTATTAAAGGAAAATAAACATTAAATAGGTGTTAGAAAATATTGTTTTCTGAAATACACAATAAATATCTAAACCAGTGAAGGGACCTTGTAAAAAAGGAAGGCTTCTAGAGTCAGCTCAGAGATGGTTGGATATTTTCCTGAAAGAAAAAGATGCTATAAAAGATAGGCGTTGGTGGGACAGTTGCCAGTTCATAATTCTTAACTGTCCAACTTCCCAGTCAAGGTTTTCAAGTATCTTAGATGGTGATTTAGCTAGCAGAAGGGAAAACTAGATGCAAAGTGTGCAGCTTTTTATCTCAAAATTTGAGAAATAGCAATTTGTATATAAGTGCAGTCAGTTCTGCCTTATCTGGGATAGCTATAATCATCTCTCACCACATCACAACTACACACTGCACTCATTAGCCTTTGTTGCGAAAGAAACTGCCTCAGCCTGCTTCCTGTCAGATAGATGGTGTAATAACTTACAAATTTAGTACATATATTATCAGAATAAAATACTAAATCTATACAGGAGAAGATAGTAAAATATGAGTATTTATATGTTTTACTCACCAAGGACTATAAGTAGACCTTTTCTCTCTTACCTACTCTTGGCTAGTTTTCTGTTTCCTGCTGGTGTTAGTGTTTCAAGTTCTGTTGATTTACAGTATGCAGGCAGGGGAGAAATGGAAAAGGAGAAAATGCAGATTTAATTGTACAAGTGGAATAAGAGATTAAACTACTAGTTTAAAAGGTATTTAGGCTGAATAATGAAAATAGGTAAAATCCTTATGCTCCTATTATACTGCAAAAAAAAGTAGCTCATGCTCTGTAAAAATTATTAAAGATTATTTAATTTTTAAATCAGCATAGAATTATATAGAACCAAAATTCAATCTTCCTTGTCTTTGGCTTAAAAAAAAACTCTCCTCTGAAGTAGTTACTGTTAACAGTCTAGAATGTGTATTGCCTTCCAGACACTTTCTATGCCTGTTGGGGTAAGGGGTATAAACATACATACACACATATACTGTCTCTTTATATATGTTGGTATAGTTATATGTTCAGATTCCTTCAAAGCATCATTTTAGATGCATTTTATAGGTTCTTAACTTTTGGATAACACATGGTATCTTAAAGAACAATGAGAGCTATGGTTTCTCTCTCCCAGAAATCAGCCATACATATGTTCACTGAATTTTTCTTTCAGTCTCAGTTTTATGAATTCCCAGAAGGCAATCTGCTGCCACCTCTTGAGTAAGTGAAAGTCACTCAGTGTTCAACTCTGCGACCCCATGGACTGTAGCCTGCCAGGCTCCTCTGTCCATGGAATTCTCCAGGCAAGAATACTTGAGTGGGTTGCCATTCTCTTCTCCAGGAGATCTTCCTGACTCAGGGATTGAACCTGGCTCTCTTGCCTTGTGAGCAGATTCTTTACTGTCTGAGTCACTAGGGAAGGGGCTCCTCTACCAACTCCCTGAGGCTTGTGGAGCCAGGGACAACCAAGAGAACAGCAACAAGTTATAGTGGATTTGGGAAGGATTATTATTTATAGCAGAAGCCTAATGAATCAGTATGCTCAGGGTACCCTTAGTTGAATTTTCTGGTCAACAGAGTTTATCACAAAATCTTTTGTCATCACAAAACTTTCAATCAAAATAAAAAAACTATATAACAAGTCTGAGTTCACTCACCTGTGCGATAGCCAGGGACCCCTCAATATTCCACCCTTATCACTTGGTGCCTGCGGAACTCTCACACCTGCAGTCACAGCACCTGTGGCATTTTAGTACACCTCCTTGTCTGCACCTGGATCTCCCCCACCTCCACCCCAGAGGCTGTGAACTCCTTAAGGG